TGGCTGACATTGCTGGGCACTCCCCAAGTTGTCTTCCTTCCCAACAACGCCTCGATTCTATTCCCGTGGCAAGGTGCCCAGCCCCAGAGGATGAATGCAGATTGGCTGAAGCCCCCCAGTTGGCAGCTCATTACCTTCATCATTGAAAGGGTGGCCATGGTCATGTGACCTAATTCTGGCTGACAGCTACAAGGGAATTGTGCTGTAAGAAGCCTCCAGCATTTCCCCCAGGTTTAAACACTAGGGGGAAGCTCAGGAGGGTAGCCCTTTCTCTTCCATCCCCTACCTTAGCTTTTTGGTGCCAAGGGAGTTTCAGATCAGGGCCCTGGAAAAGTAGAGAACTGCCAGCACAATCTGGCACCAAGGATGAGTGCCATGAACTGCCCAAGTTCGCTGTATTCCAGGCTTCTCTTACTATACGAGCTAATCCAATGCTGCCATTGGATCATCACAATTAAGCAGCCACATCAGGCATCCCATTACCTGCCATCTAAAGCATATACTCTTAGGCATGGTGATGCATGCTCATAATCCCAGCACTGAGGAGGCTGAGGCAGGAGGACTACAAATTTGAAGTCAGCCTAGGCTACATAGTGAATTCAAAGTCAGTCTGGGCTATGTAATGAGACCTTGTCTGACGACTGGCCTGTTTTTCATTATTATAATCAAATACTAGAGACCGGATATTTTATAAAGAAAAGAGATTTAGCACACTCTTGTAAACCGAAAGTGCAAGATCAGGCAGCCTCTTTCTTTTTGCCTCTGGTCATGACCCATTGGCAGATGGTATGATGGCAGGAAGGGAGAGGAAGAGAGAGAAGCAGAGGATGAAAGGGGAGACAATGAATCACAGTACCATCAGGAAGTCAGAACAGGAGGGCATTCTATAATCTAAAGGTCGGCATGTCTAAGACTGACCTAAGAACGTCACCTGGGCTCTCCCACCTCTTAGAGTCCCGCGCCACCTTCCAGCATTGGCATCCTGGCAACTAGGCTCTCAGTGCACGAACCTCTGGGGGAGATCTCGAGCGACATCCTAACCCTAGCATCAACCAGGAGTGGCCTCTGCCTCAGCCTGCTTGCCTCTCATTACACGTGCCATTAGAAAAAGGAGGCTAAGGAGCAAGAAGCTGAAGAAGTCGGATGAAAGCGTATATATGTCGGGGCCAGATCTCAAACTCCCTTCTTGGGATGAACACCATGTGCAGCATTGTCCTGCTTGGTTCCATGGTAGCATTCAGTCAGCTTCCAGAGCACCTCAATCCCCTTTCAGGAGCGCCCCCCCCCCATCTTCAAAGTCAGCCTGGAAATGACCAATCCAACAACTCTAAAGTGTCTTTGGAGAGAACACCCCACACAGTTGGCTTCTTCTAAACACATTGCTATTATTATGAAGCTCTCCCAAATGGCAGCATTTAAAAAAAAAAGTTTTAAAGGCAAAGGAAACAGCAGAAAGAGAAAGTAAGTGTGCCAGAAAGTAATTGGAAGGAAACTTCTTTTTTTCCAGGGGGTGGGGGTGAGGGGGGTTGTTAGGAGCCAGGAAATGTCAAGGAAACAAATCAGAGTTGATTTATATTCCATTTCTAGGCATCTTTATTAACAGAAACTCCACAGAGCAGCCCTACAAGCCGACTACCAGAGACCCCACAGAGCATCCCCGAGGCTGAGAAAGTCACACTGGATTCTGGATTTGACAGTAACACAACCAAATACATAGGAAGGAAAGTACTTGAGTGTTATCCAGCTTTCTGGGCTTTCCTTGTTTTCAAACTGGTCTGGACAATAGAAGGCCAAGAGCCAACAATAAATCCACTCTAAGCTGGAAAGGGCCTCCTCTGAACACAACCAAATATTGCTTTAATCCTTTGCATTACGTTTTTCACTGCAGTATGAAAGCTATGCGCTCTGAATTCTCAGCTTCTGCAACACTGTGGCTAGAGGTGTGATTGCTGAGCTGGTGATTAATTGGGCAGTTACTTAAGGCCCTTTCAAAGCAGAATAGGAGATGTTTGGTTTTGCATGAATATTTTTAGATCCTACTAAAGATACTGCCTTTAATGGCTCTTGCTTAGAAATCTTGTTTTGATATTCTGAAAGTCCTTTCTTTCCCATATGTACTGCAGGAAGAGTCCTTCGATAATCACGACAGAACATGAATATTCCTTCTGGAGCTATGTTATCAGGCACATCAGCCGGCCCCAGAAAAACTGATGTCATGGTTCTGTTCCCAAGGGAACAGGGACAGTGGGTCCCCTATAAACAGTGGCTTTTGTTGACTCATTTCTTTCCCCCCTGACATTAAACTTGTGTGTGGTTGGCAAGAATTTCTTTTTTTAAAATTTGGACATGGTTTCTGCCTCGGATCCTCTACACACGACTTTATTGGTTAAAGAGCAAGCAACAGGCACTTGTTTATACACAGCTACTTCAGCGGTGACTTAAAAAGGGGCTTCCCAGGGAGCAAAGCAAGCTAGGAGACATGCTGAATCCAAGCATCCTTTCCCTAGAGATGTTCAGTTCGATAAGTGTTTATCCTCCATACCGAATGGTTAGAAAAACTATCTACACATTGAGGTCTAGCCAACTGTGGGCTCCCCATAAAGTGCCTCCCAAGATCTCCCATCCTGATCAGTGTGTGCATTCCCCACCCAGAAACATTTAACAAGCAGCAGGAACCGAACGGCACTCAGGAAGAGTGGGGCCTTGTCACTAGAGACAGAGAGACCCGCAGCAGAAAACAACCCTGAAGTGTTGGAGCTGGGTCGTCTCTGACTCTTCCCGGAAGGAAAAGGAGCCCGTCTACACTCCAATCCCCACAGTCTACACTTGGAGCATCACAGTGCCTCAGAACATGGATACATAGCCACAGCACCATGTGTTGAAGGGTACAGCGGTTCTCAATGGGTAGGGGTGGGGATCTCAGGGCCTGAATTTTTTTCTTTTGCCTTTAAAGTCCAGAGTAGGAAGCCAGTATTGAGTTCAAGGCCAGCCAGGACTACATAACAAGAAAGACCCTGTCTCAGCAAAGGGGGAAAAAAGTATGAGGCTGGGCATGGTGGTCCATGCCTGTAATCTCAGCACTCTGGAGACAGAGGCAGGAGGATCACTGCAAATTTGAGGCCAGCCTGGGCTACATAGTGAGTCCCAGGCAAGCCTGGACAATCTAGCAAGACTCTATCTGAAAAATGATGTGAGATGAAAAAGAGAAGGAAGGGTGATAGCGTGATAGCAGGAAGGAAAAGGAGAGACAAGGATGAGAAGGAAGAGGAAAGAACTGGGAAAAGAGAAGGGAGAGGAAGAAGAGGGGGGAAAAGGACAGCGTGGTATTCACAGGTAGAAAGTAACTGGCTCTCCACGAAGCAGCTCTTCAACACCCCGGTCTCTAGGGGGTTGGCAGAGGATAATGGCGGCAATTATGAAACTACTGCCATAGTGTGCCGGCTGGGCTCTGCCTTCTGCAGGCACTTCAAGAAGGGAAAGAGGAAATCATTCAGGAAGCAGCAATTTTGCCGAGAACCAAGCAGGAGAGGTAACGTTGGCTTATTAAAGAGGCTAAAAAGGAACTGTGGGGAACAGGAAGGTTAATTCTAGAGTTCTTCCATTCCCTTTGAGATCTCAAATTCACCCCATCTCGGGTACACTCGAGCTCGATATATATGGCCCAATATATGTATCCGATTCCAGGGGTGCAACCCAAGGCCTTGAACGTGCTAAGCAAGCCTCTACCACTGACCTACACCCCCAGCCCTGCGCGGCTCAGTGTAGTAACAAAGATCACAGATGGGCACCGCTTAGGAATGGGTGGTAGGTAGCTCACCTGTCCTCTTGCTTCCTCCACCATGAAGCAAGGTTTATTTTCTACTGTGCTCAGGAGTGACCCCTCCCCCCCCACATCCCCACCTCTTTAGATCTGAGGCAGCCACCTCCCCCCAGGAGGAGGATAACCATTCCCACAAGGGAAGCAGAGCCAAGAAAAACTCTGACTAGTGTGCTGGTGTCTGCCATAGCTCTACAGGAAAGAGGCTTGCTGCACAAAAGGGAGAGGTTCTGCCCAACGTATCGGATGCGGAGGTTCAGAGGTCCCAGCATAAAGTGACCATCTTTTTTTTTTTTCCCCTCGAGACAAGGTCTCACTATATAGCTCTGGCTGTCCTGCACAGGCTGGCCTCAAACTCAGAAATCCGTCTGCCTCTGCCTCCAAATGCTGGGGTTAGAGGCGTGCCCCACTTATGCTCTGCTGCTGCTGTTCTTTTTAAGTCTTACTCTGTAGCCCAGGCTGGACCTGGATCTTACACACACACACACACACACACACACACACACACACACACACACACACACACACACACACACACACAGCTTAAACCAGCCTCTAGCCTCCCAAATTCTGGGATTACGATGAGCCACCAAACCCCGCTCGCAACAGCAGTCTTAACTCTCAGAAAACAAATCAAAGACGCTCTGGAGTGCGCTGTGGCGATCGCAACAGACAAATGCACACAGAGGCAGCTCAGCTGCGTCCGTCCTCGCTGTGCAGATGTGCGGTTTGAGTGGGACAGCTTGAGAACACAGCACTTCCAAGTCAGAGCCGCTCCGAGCCAAACCTCTCGGGCACCGAGGGAGGGCTGGCCCGAGCCTTGATGGATCCGGGCTGTTACAGGCTGAGCAAGCTTGGGGACGCACGAGCCTCATTAGTATCTCGGGCGCCGGGAGCAGGCAGGAGGCGGTGGGTCTGAGCGCACACTTCAGTAGAAACGCAGCGCTCAGGACTGTTACTCCAAGGTCTTACCTTACCCCCGCTCCTGAGTGTCCCCTAAACGGCCCCTTTGGATGCTTTTTCCTACAGAAGCAAGTCCTGGCACTGGAGCCGGACGGCAGGACACCTCACGACCAGCGACCCCAGTGCAATCCACTGGGTGAGCCCCGTTCCTAGGGGTGACGATCACGCCGCTCCCGCAGCCCCACAACCCCGCGCGTAGCGTACCATCCCCCGGCCTCACCTCCTGCAGCAGGCGCTCCAGGTGCGTTTCGGCCCAGGTGGTCAGGGCTCCGGACGGCCCCGCACGCCGCCACAGCTCGCGTTCCTGCTCCAGCGCCGCCACTCGGCCGTGCAGTGCGGCCGCCTGGGCGCCCAGCAGCAGGCAGGCAGCGGCCGAGCCCACCGACAGCAGCAGGCACAGCGCGCCCAGCACCCGGGCCCCGCAGCCCGCGCGGGGGTCCTGCACGCCTCCCCCGCCCGCCGGGCGCTCGCCCGCGCCCATAGCGTCCAGCCGGTTCTGCGTCGGCGCTGCGGCCCGGGGCGAATCCAGGTCGGCGGCTGCGGGGATCGGCGTCCCGGCGGCCGCGGATCGCTCACGCCCCCCTCGCCGCCCGCTCCAACGCAGCGGCCACTGCGGGCAGTTCCCTCTATGCAAATAGACCCCGCCAGAAAAGGCGCGGGGACCCACCCAGGGGAGGAGCGGCCGGTCGGGGAGGGCGGGGGCCCCCGGCGCTCACCGGCTCCCTGGCTCCGGGTCCTCGCCACGCTGCTCCCAGCGCGCGAGCCTCTGTGCCCGGTCGCTGCCACCCGAGGGGGCCAGACGCGCCTGGTCTCGGCTCTCCTGCAGCCCTCCTGAGGCTGCGGCGCGGTTCGTGTCCTAGGAGCGACCCCCAAACTTGTGGATTGACCTTTCTGACACTTGCGAACCAAAACCTGGAACCCTGTGGGAAAGTTAGAAGTCCGTCCTAGACGGTCGCTGAGCGCCGCTTGGTGGCCGAAAGCGACCCCTGCATGTGGGCACGGAAAGACTTGGTAGAGAACCAAAGAGAATGAGAAATAGAGGAAGAAAAAAAAAAGGATGGGGGGGGGGGGTGGGGAGAGAGCACGCGAGAAGAGGAAGGAGGAAGGAGGAAGGAAAGAGAAATAAGGAGAATAACTAGGGAAAAGAAGAAGGGAAGAAACGGAGGGAAAGAAGCAGACACCTCTTACAGTCAATGCCCTCACCACTTATAATGTCAGGCATGGACACTAGACAGACATGGTCACACTTTGGAGGGAGTTGACCCAGAGGGAGCGTTTAGTTCGGGAAGCAGACGAAAATAAAAGGGAAAGGAGCTCCAAACTTTGTAGAACTTGAATTCTGCAGGGAAAAACTTGGACAAAACCGAAATCTGGAATGCACCATACTGACTTAACTACAGTGATATCAGGACACCAACAGGGGCCAAAGAGAAAGCCATCCATTAACATGGTGGCCAGAGAGGCTGAAGCTGGAACCTAGGTTTTAGCTGTCGGGGGCCCTAAGGTATATTTATAGGTCAAAACAGGTCTCAAGTAATTGTTGCATTAGTTCCTGTGATACCCATTTGAGAACAGCCAATCGTGAACCTGGTAACGGGCAACTGTGATGGTTTTTAGATGAAGACTTGCCACCTGAATCTCCTGTGGTTGTCTGCTTAATTCCTGTGCCTACATTATCCATTCTGTATTTGTTAAGACTTTTGAACTCCGCCCCCCAACCCCCAGCAAAACTTGTACTCCCTTAATTCAGAGGGAAAGCACCCTGCCCTCGAGACCCACTGAACTGAAATGAAGCAAGGGTGCAATTTCCAACAGCTTCCTAGCTGTGGCCTCAGGTAAAGTGAGTTCCTGGTAGTGATTATACATTCTTGGCCCAGTGAGAAAATTGAGTGTGTGCCCAATAAATACTCTGCAAACCACTTGTTAAGCAAACCCGGCAGCCTACTGAAGTCTCCGAAAAGAGGCCAACACTGTATTACAAGTTAACACTCATTCTCATTAAAAGGTAATTCCCCACTTCCTACCAGTGTTAGTGTTAATGGGTCCTGACGTTCTAGAAGCTTCTGTGTATTGAACAGGCCAAGCTCATTGCTCCCCAGGCCTTTATTCTTATCAGCTATGTGGATTAGCTTCCTCTCAGACTGTGAAGAGCAAGCTCCTAATCTTGAAGTCAAGGTTTCCAGAGCCTGTCCCAGCCTGCCCAATCTAAGGTGGCCCCATCCTCAGGCCCCTTCATTATTAACTAGGGGATGGGGACATCTGTCCCTAGTTACCTTTTAACTGTATCCCCTTGTTTTCTCCTCCACTGTCTTTTTACAGAACACTATCTGGCCCATAGTCCACGCTCAATAAACACTTGGTAAGTAAATTAAGACAAAAAAATAAGTTTACTGTCTGCAGTTCTCAATTGGAAAAGCAAGAATCTAGAAAACACTGTTACTTGTTGCCAGTTGGGGTCCTAGAAGGAAAAGGCGGCACCCTCAGAACAGGTGATTGAAGCCAGCTTGACTGCAGACAGGCTTTACAGTGGCAAGGAGGGAAGCCAGCAGGGGATGGGGGTGCAGGGGGAGCACTCTCAGGCTCACACTCATGGGAAGCCATTATCCCTAGCTGAACAGGTGACAGAAGCCTGCTGGGCAGCCTGTGGAAAGTCTGGGACTCTGAGAAGTTGTCTGCTCAGCAGGAGCTGTGACCTTTGGCTGAGGACACAGCCTTTGTGAACCATGGCTTGGTGGGAGAAGAGGCTGGAAGAAGAAATTATGTCCCTCTCCTGCTAGAGACCCCCATTGACCAAACCTAAAGATCAGGAGCCCAGTAAGAGCCGTACAGAGGGCAGTCCCACAAAAAGCAGACAGAGGTCAGGTATGTACCCAACCCCTCATGCATTCAGTCGAGCTACTGCTGCCTCTGAGTGTCAGCCTGACAGTGATATACCCCTGCATGGCACTCCTTGGGGACCAACTGGCCACCTGGATTACTTTGGACTCTCCCAGTAAAGGAAGAGCCAGGGGTCTGTCCCTCACAGGGATAACTATTCCAGTTATGGGCTGTTTTTCCAATTTACAGAGTCTCAGCCACTTGCACAATGTTCACATATCAGGCAACCCATAGGTATGAAATCTAATACCACACACCCAATCAAGCTATCTACTTATTAGCCAAAGAAGTGGGGTGAGTCCATGACCATGAACTCACTGGCTGAAGGAGTCAGTCTTGGAATACTGGAGCTGCCTTTGAGGCGCTGATGAAATAACTCAGAAGGGTGCAGTTTTGGGATGTGGTACATGATTAAGCAGGGTACCTCTCTGTGATGCTGTGTTCTTAATAAGAACATATGCGTCAAAGAACCTAGGGGTAGAAGCAAGAATGGCACTATCAGCCATCACATGTGACCCAACTTCACAGTTACAAAGACCTGGCATTTGCTCTTCTCGAATCTCTGGGCTATGCATGCCAAGGGAGCAAGGGACCCATGAATTGTGAGCTCTGTCTTGCTGCCTCCCACTCTGAATTCTGTTCAGGAGGCTGAAGGAGTAACTGAGCCCGACCACCAGGGAGTACTGCAATTCCACACTGGGGCAGGGAGATACATGGGCCGCTTGACCATACCACTTCGCCGAATTGTAACTGGAACAGAAAAGTGCAATACCTTCCCCCAGTTGATGCTCCTAGGTAACACAGACAACCAAAGGGTCTGAATGTGTTCACAATGTTGCTCAAGGTTGCAGGGTTTTGTGTATTTCCAGCCACATCCTCCCAAAGTTTAAATTAAGTTCTAAGGTTTTAAGAGACAATTACATGGCGAGATTGTCACTGAAGAAAAGTCACCAGGTCTTCACTCAGTGACTCTTGTCCTGGTCTACCAGCTGACAGTACAACTGAAGCAAGCTACTTACTCTTCAGATCCTCTGTTTTCAGCTTTTTAAAAAAGCTAATGGGGACCAGCTAGCTTTACTCTGTTCAAAAACCAGTAAAACTACATGGCACATTGCAAGGCACGGGACATCAGCATCAGAAAGGATGGTGAGCCTTGGGAGATGGGTAACAGGGAACTCAAGGACTGTGGAGACTTCCCAGGCCACAGTGCAAGAAGAGGGCCTCAGCCAGAGCTGGCCTACAGCTCTGGTAGTCTAGCTAGGGCAGGCAGTTCGGAGTTGCAGGGAAGAGGGCTGGAGATCTAGGCTCCCGGTGAGTAAGAAAACAGATCAGGATGATTGGAATTCTAAATGCAAACAAGCCCTACAGGCTAGGGGGTCTTCCTGCCGGCTAGTACAGAAAACCTGATAGATCAGATGTCATTGAGCACTCATGTTTTTTGATGCGGGGGTGGGGGTGGGTGGGGAGGGGATGGGGGAATGGGGGGATGGGGACGGGGTCGGGGACGGGGACAGACACGGACCCGGAAAAACTAACTCTAGACTAAGCATTGACCTAGGTCTTGCTTAAAAGCTTAAAACCAAAACCTGAAAAGATCAAATTGATGCAAATAAGCATGTAATGGCTGAAGTGTGAAGGAATACAAGCACATTCAGACTAATAAGGTACAACAGGAAACTACCTGAACCATATAGCAGAGAAGATGAATAGAAGAGAAATTACTCACAAGCAATCCAGAAATGGCAGGGACAAGAGAATTAGTGAACAAAGATATCAAAGTTAGGACTGTATTCTTCATGCCCAAGGAACTAAAGGTAAGGAGCCATGACAGATACTTTTAAAAAAAGACCCAAAACAAATTCTAGAAGATGAAAATTTGAAATTTTAAAGACAAAACAAAAAAACACAACTCTGGGCTCGGAGCAGTTGAGAACACTTGCTGCTGTTTGAGGACCCAGGTTTGATTCCCATCATCCACAGGGTGGCTCACAAACATCTGTAATTCCAGTTCTGGGGGAATACAACACCCTCTTCTGACCTCCTTGGGCACTGCAAGCAATGATACAGACATACATGTAGACAAAATATTGATATACATAAAATAAGAATAAATAAACCTCTTTAATCCTAGCACTTGGGAGGTAGAGGCAGGCAGAGTTCAATGTCAGCCTGGTCTACGGAGTAAGTTCCAGAACAGCCAGGGCTACACAGAGAAGCCTTGTGTAGTGGGTAGCCATTCCAGCTTTGATCTGGAAGTTCCAACCCCCATTGAGACTTCGGCAATGTCACGCCTACAAGGCGGGGCCAAGGGAGGCGCCTGGGGACCCGAGAGCTGGATCGGCGGGCGCTCTCTCTGTTGCGGGACCCTGGACTGGAGAGGTGGACCGAGCAGAGCTCCAGAGAACACCGCTGGACTGTGATACACCTTCCCCAGACTCCGCGACCTACCTATTCCTTAATTTGTAAGTTACGCCATTAAATAAATCTCCTTTTAACTACGTGGAGTGGCCTTAATAAATTCACCAATATCTGGCGCTCACGTGGGGCAAGTTCCAAAGGCCTGGGTGGCTCCCGCCCTCAGCCTCCTCCCCGGCTGGCGGGTACCTAAACCCGCCTGCAGAGTTCCATAGAACCAGGGAAAGCCTACACGGTTCCATTCCCGAAAAAGGGAGCAGCTAGTCCGGTCTCAGCTCCCTAGCTTAGCCCCCAGACCAGCGAAAAACCGCTGTGAGTGAGGCGATCCCCCTCCTCCCCGAGTGCGGGCCCCGGCTCCCACCATCCCGGCTCCCGCCATCCGGCTCCCCGCCATCCGGCTCCCCGCCATCCCGGCTCCCGCCATCAGGCTCCCACCATCCCGGCTCCCGCCATCCGGCTCCCACCATCCCGGCTCCCGCCATCCGGCTCCCCGCCATCCCGGCTCCTGCCTCCAGCTGCCGCCCGCCAAGGTTGCCAGCAGGCCCTGGATTTTAGTATGTGTTTCTTGCTTGATATTGTTTGCATTGGTTGTAGTTCCAT